TTAAAGATAGGCTCATCTCACAAGTATCATTTAAGCAGATGGGAAATGCTTCAAGCTGCATAAATGGAACACATGTAGAGTTGTGTATGTCAGGCACATCTGTATGGCTGCTGACTCAGTGACGAGGAAGCACAGCTCCAAGTCTTGCACACTCAGCCACAGCTTCATTAATGTTGCTGACAGACCTTGGTTAATTAGCCCTCTGGAAGGGCAGTTGTTTTTTTCTCCAGAGACTCCAGGAAGGAGAATCCTTTAAGGACAGCTGTTTGCTAACTTCTGGGTCTGAGAAGTGGTTTGGCTTCCTGGATCGAAGGGTTTCTCATTCTGGGGAGGTCAGAGATCTTTCTTCTCCCTGACAGACAACATGCCATTTAGGGGGTCCAGTTTTCCAGCTAATTTTAGAATTTGCAGTAGTAAATCATTTAGTGAAATATTATATTAATTTTGAGTTGGATTATAAAGCAATGCCAACAGTTTTTAGACAAAACACCAGCACTTTTGTATACAAATGACTGAAATCCTTTAAAGTAGTCACTTACTCAAAGCATAGTTGGAGTTCCTTTTGTGTTATCACCTGGGGTCAATTTGTAAGTCACACTAGATACTTGTTGCCAAAATTATTATATGCAGATCACTCACCAGATTTGGTTTTGGGCTTTTGCAAAATTCAAATCGATTCTACCCTGGGAGATAGTCCAAACAAACAATTTAAAAACTGTCTTGAATGATGATTTTACTCTCACAATGAGTACAGAGTAATCTCCAGTAATTACTCTGAAGGGGACAATACTCATCTGGAGTGTTAAGTTCTAATGTACTGACTTTAAAAAGTCAGGGGCGCCTGGCTGGCTCAGTTGAAAGAGCTTACGACTCTTGATCTGGGCGTCATGAGTTCTAGCCCCATGTTGGGTGTAGAGATTGCTTAAAAATGAATATATAAATAAACTTAAAGAAAAGCCAGACATAAAAGATGGTTGGTGCATGTAGTTTCTCCAGTTGAGATCAAATGTGGGATGAAATAAAACAGTGTGTCTCTCGCTATTTCCCTCCAGCAAGTCTGCCACATTGGTGGGAAACTGGGCCCTAAGCACAGTAGGTAATAACATCTTCCTAGCCCAGCCTACATTCAGAAAATCTTCAAAACTAAATGTGGCTCCAAGTTATTATCTTGTTTCAAAATTTCAATATATATTTTCTCTTTTTAATCTCAAAATAAAATATTTAATTTCTCAATTTTGCTTTTTTCTGTTCTAAAGTTTAAAACGATGAATCATATTATTTCTTATTGCAATTAGTTTGGCTGAAATAACATCTTCTGTTTTGCTTCCCATTTTAATTCAAACTCATTATATTTTAGCCACTGCTGTAGGTGTTTTTTCAGTATATCAAATAATATTCTCATATGTAGTTATTATCTAGATACCTAGGATGATTTCCCAGATACATTTTTTTGAAGTTGAGTTGTCCTCCTGCTTTGTTTTTATATTTAGATACACAGCACTAGGTAATTTTTATATTTACAATAACATACCCCCCTAAAACAGGAACTAAATGTCTATTCATTTACATCAGATTCATTTGAATCATTAAAAGTGAAATACCCAAATTGATGATGGGGAAGAGAACAGTTAAGTGTTTTGATTGCCTTTCGACCACAAAAACATTTCTTAGTGTACTGAAGCTTTAGTTTTCCTTCTCCCCGGCCCCTGGCTGGGGAGGAGTTGAGGCAGAAGGGCAGAGGCACATGAGGTCCATCTCGCCAGGCTGAGTCAGGCCAATGCAGCTGCTGGCCTGGGCACAAGTGTGGGCGGCCACCTGTGGCTCCCAGCACAGCTGTTTGGTAGAGGGCCAGCCAAAGCCCAGTCGGTGGGGTGGAGGCAGGTGGCGAATTGGGCGGCCAGTACATTCTGGCATGGGCTGAAAGAACACCTGGTTCCACTCTGTAGACCCACCACAGAAGGTCAAAGAATGTGCTTGCTTGGCAGCAACCTGATGGTCCAGCTCTGACTGAAACAGAGAAACCCACCTTTCTTGAAACTTACCCGAAGCCAACACAGGAATCATTCTGCTCCAGTTGTGTTGAAATAGGTCAGTGAGGCCATCGGGCATGTCTGGAAATGGTGTGGGGGGCTCTTAGACAGGAACAGGCTCTGTGATTCAAAACAGGACATTTCATGGGAGGTGAGAGCCTTCTCTTGTATTTGGCTGCCAACTATCATTGCAGACACCATATATCCTTGAATATCTCTGACCTTCATTTTCCTCCTCTTCCCACGAACTCTAACTACATGCTTAGAAACCACTTTGGGTCCCCACGTATAATTTTGTCACCAGACATAGGAATTTTCATAGTGAAAACCACCACCTACAGAGACAGGAGCCCAAAGTTCACCTTTTCCTGACCCCCGAAGCCCCGCCCAAGACCTCAGGCCCACTGCTTCCCAGGAAAGCATTTCCTCTGGCCTTATGAGTCACTTTCTCTCTGGTAGAGGAGCATCCTTCCAAATTTCCCGGTCCCAGATGTAGACCAGGCAGCAACCGTCCATGTGCCAAAGAGGTGACACTCTCCTTATTGGTTCTGTGACCACTGGAACTTACTCAACCTTTCTGAGCCTCAGTTTTGGAATTTGTAAGTAGCGATGGACAGTATTGTCCTCATAGTTTTGTTGTAACCCATCCAATGAGAGAACATATGTTAAGTGACTAGGATAGAACCTGTGTACAACAGGTACTCAGCAAATATTGGTCGTATAAATGAATGACCATGGCTGATGCCACTCTCTAGACACAAAGAGGCCACACCTGGTCTGGACAGGCCCTGGGCTAGAACTCCCTGCCGACATCTTTGCTTCGGATTTCAAGGGCCTCATCTCACAATTACTGCCCTGTGGGTCCATAAGGTAGCCTGCTATGCACAAAAGCCCTTTCTGGGCACAGACCAGGCCTTTCCAAGAATCGCATTGGCCTTGAGCTAGTAGAAGCCACCACTGTCAAGCCATTGACCTGAAGAAAGCAGTCTGACTTCTGGGAGGCCTGCGGCTGGCGGGATAACTTGCCCCTTTTATGTGAAACATCTCTAAGGTAACATATCCAAGATAAGGTCCAAGAAGAGATCTCTGGATCGAATTTCACAAAATTTAAAGTCTGGAGCAATGAAATCTTGACCGGTCAGGCATGATGTTCTGTGTCCTGAGGTGAATGGGAATATTCAGGCTCCCTAACCCCTGGACTCTGGACATCAGGTGCTATTACCCTTGTGTAACCACACAGTGTTGTTCTAGTAAAGACAGATATTGCCCTGGAAATTATCTTTCATCATCTATGCAGCTCAAGACTTTCGGTGGGCTAACAGGAGCCATCAACCAAGAGACAATACAAGCATAACCTTGGTTTCCCCACAGAGTGGAGCCAGCCCTCACACTGCTGTTCGATTTCGGGCCTCAGATACTACCTGTGGATCAAGTGAGGGACAAAGAATGCTAGAAATAGCCCTCTGAGAAAAAGATGGAAGACCATTTTCCTTTTAAGTTACAGCTTAGAGTTTTCAAGTCTGAGGTACAAAACCATTGTGAACAGCTCTTCTTTTTGAAAACATGTTAGTTTATTCCACACATTCTGATGATATGAATGAGACAGAATTCTGAATGCAGCTTATCTGTCGCTTTTTTATTCAGGGACTGATTTTTTCTCTTTCTTGCAGCCACTTATTTAGAATTTTCCAGGCCTCCAGGACTGTGACTTTTTTTTTCCTCCCTGAATTACGTTTTTCCCCTTTCTTTTAAAAGTAATGAAGATTATCCTAGTCACACCAATTCACACATTTTTGTTACAAAGATCAATAACCAACTTTCTTCCTAATGCACCTGAAAAAAAATATCACCTGGCCTTTTGGAGCATAAAAGCTTAAGGATGATCCTAGTGCTCTCTGGAGAGTGGCAGAGATCTCCACGGAGGGTGGATTGCCCTTGGAGTTAGAGCCCTAAGTAGGAAAGTACCCTTTAGATATTTCGAAGGGAGAAAACAGTTAACTGGAAGCTTAAAAACAACCGTAGATGAACAGATAGACTCGCATCTGAGGAATCTAAGCTAAGGCAAACCTTATTTCTCGTTATTCCCCCTTTCCCAACCCCTTTGCAAATGCAGTGGGAAATTGATACAGCTGGTCCCAGAGTCTTCTCGTTCACTGAGCATTCATAATACTCTAGCCACATTTGGCTCCTGGAATGACCCTGAAGAAATACTCTCCAAGACTATCTAATCACTGCACCTGATTTCTTCCAGTATATCAGATTGAATGTGTGCGGGGGTGGATATGGAGGAAAGCAGACTGAAGCACAACCTGCTTGGGCATTCCATATCTTCTTACGTAATTGATGATATTGTCATTATGAACACACTCAAATAGCTAAGCATGCAGGAGGGTCACCTTCCTTTTAGTTGCTGAGTTTCAAAAATTGCTGAGTTACCTTTGCATGTGATAGTACACCCCAGCTCAGCAGTGGCTGAACCATTAGTTCAGCCTCAGAGGAAATGTCTGAAGGTGGAAAAGTATGTCCCTCATGTTCCTATGCTCTCTGTTGAATCTGAGTGGAAAAATCCTTCTTCAAGTTATGAATACTTTTGTTCAGCACCTTTTCCACAATGAAATATATTACATCCTCTTCTATGCTAAAGAATTTACATGGAAAGCAAAAGGAGAAGGGAGGCAAAATAGTCATGAGTCTATCTGGACTTCCTTTCTAGGGTTAGAATAGCTGACTAGTGGCATCTGGGGATAGAGATCCACTAGAAATACCCAAAGCCCTTGTATTTAATAGCACTGAAATACAAATAAATGCAATCTCTGAGGAGGGTAGTAAGGATGCAACAAATTATCTCAATCCTGGATACTACCTGGATAATTTGGACAGTGTAGTGTGGTATTCCAAAGGATAGATTCCCCCTACTGCAAGTTTAACACCAACTTTTCAGGGAATAGACAACTTTCATCTGAATCATTCTTACAAGCTGAATTTTTATTTTTACTAAATTATCTATGTTAAAAAAAAAATCTGTGCCTGGTGTGGAATTTCACTCCATCAAGTGTTACAATGACTTTTTCATTTTCATTACAAGCAGGAGAATGAATGTAGGACAAGTGTTAGGAAACATGGCAATAAATTAGAATATAATTTACAAAAGCAAAAAAAAAAAAGTAACAGTGTACCACATTAATACTGAGTATAAAATAATAAGCAACAACTAATCACAATAATACAAAGGTAATTTCATTCTGTATTATTAAGGATACCTATGTGATATTCACTCCAATAAAATTCCTAACGAAATGGACTGTTTGGGGAGTCATATGTATCTCAAGGGCTTTCATCAGTTGGGTATATTTACCTTTCCTTTTTTTGGCAGGACTTTATGTCAGTGGCAGGTACTGCTCTCAGCCATGGGGTACCAGTTTCCTTGGGGCTCCCTAAGTAGCCCACATAGCATGCTACTTTTGGGAAGTCCTGCCATGGTGGCTCAGCCTCCACTGACAATCCTATCGCTAGCATTTAGGAAGAGAGCATATCACGTAGCCACGTGGTTGACTACAGAGTTAGCAGCGGTATTGTGATGTGCTGTAGAATACGATTTGTTTCCGCACTCAGGTTTAGTCCTGTCACATTCTGTGCTCGGTTCCTTCTAGCAGAGTAATCCGATGCTGCGCCAGGAAGCTCTCTGCTCCTGGCCTTGCGGCACTAGCTGCCCCCTCTTCTAACGTCAGTCAAGGGAGCCCAGAGCAATGGTCCTCACAACGTTAGTTTCCAGGTGAGGTGTAGAATAGACTTAAGTCAGTAATGTAAGAAATCTTTTTGGAATAAAAACATGAGCTGATATTTATGTGGGGAAAACCAGATCCTAACAGGAAACCTATGCCTAAAATGCCACAGAAACCACTCATCTTTTATTTATTTCACCAGGGCACATTAGCACCAAGTTAACTGCTCTTTGCAAGGGACCAAGGGAATTCAGTGCTGGGGCCATGCTGCTCATGGGCTGCCTCGTCTTCACTGAATAGATGGCACTTGGGCTTGACTTCTCAGGGCAGAATACATAGGGGCCCTGGCAATTTCTGTGTATTGTCAGGAGCTTTCTCTGGCAAGCTCAGGGACGTGAGCTGTGGTGTTGAGAGAGAAAGCAGGCGAGAAAATAGGGATGACCACGACTGAGTGTGCAGAACAACATCCCGTGCTGACTGTCCATAGCAAACCTGACGTTTAGGTTGGTTTTTGAAGTCTGTGAGTCTCTTTTCCTTTCTGAAAAAAGCTAATCATCTACCTTAGGTCATGGTGTAGGCGATACACCTGACATGTAGTCTGAGCACACACAGTGACGGGTTTAACTCAAACATACTCTTTAACTGCAAGTAGTATCTTTACAAAGTAGCCATTTGGTTTGAGTTTGAGGTGTTGGTGTAGCACGGTGTACACACCTGTAGGATACAAAGCTCATTCATCAAGAACCTGCTGCAAGCTACAAGTGTTCAAGTACAAAACATAAACAAGTACCCTCTTTTTTTTACCTTTCTTTTAATCCCACTGTTGAAGCTTTTGATGAGCATGATATGAAATTATTTGTGGATAGGGAAAATATGAGCTAGTCAATTTAATTTAGGATTCTGGATTTGATTCTAGAATTGACTTGCCCAAGAAACTTGGTTTCACATTTAATTGCCATTCAGAGTATCCATAACAAATACAAAATAGTTGGTTGAGTGACTATTAAAATTATGCTTTATGATCTTTAGGCTTCATGAGTTTTTCTTCTTTGGTTGTTATCCCTTGCCTACTTTAAAACTCAGAAATAGCACATTTATGTGCAAGCACACTCATCTAACCCACACACTCAAAAGCGCCCGCACACACACACACACACTTGCTCTCATATAAATAAATGCCCTTCTGCCATATCAAAGAAGGGACATCTGGAACCCATCACAATTGTCAGCAAAAGGATCTGCCTGGTTGTTACTGAGCCAGTCTATCTTTTGCACGGCATCATTTCAGTAAGCTCAACACGCGTGCAACAATCCAACGGGGCAGAAGCTGCTCTGTGGCCGCTGAGGATGTAAACACAATTGAGGTGGGGTGACTCAGAGAAGAACTGAGGCATCCTGTGTGATGGCAGCAAAGGGCCTGGTTCTTCGGCTCTACCGTACCCCTGGTCTGGCTTCTGCATGAAATCGAAATGTTTTTCTCTTAAAGTTTTAATGGAAATCTCAGCTTCACTTGCACAATGGCAAGTTGGCCACAGTCTTTTAGCACAGAATTTACAGACTTGCACAGCGGCAGTAACTGATGCACTGCCTTCAGCTAAGTCCTTCACTGTTGTTCGGTTTAATAGAGTTTATACATGGCTCACAGCAGTGTTCAGAACAGGGGGATTATTCCTAAGGAAATTAAGTGGAATGAAGAAAAATAATACAAACTTTCATTACTTTTGATTTATAATTGCTCCTTAAATTACAATTAAAAGCCCGTTTTAGAATTTAAATTGTGGTGCTGTTGTAGTGAGATAAAGTATAGTAAATATTTTTAAGCTATGACTTAAGATTTCTGAATCTTCTTTTACTTCCATAGTTGACCAAGTCATAACAGCTACATTTTAAACAGTTTTAAATACAAATGGATTCAGTGTCATTGCTAAGTCCATAATAAAAAATATCTTAATGGTCCAAGGAGGTAAACAGGCTATTGGATTTACTCGAAAGAACACAAACGTTCCACAGTAAGCAAGTCTCCCTGTGTTGTTTGGATCTCTCCGATCTGGCATTCCCTCCTTAATACCGTGTCCAGCACTTTGGATCAATAAATCCCACTTCACAGAAGTTAAAATAATATTGAAATCCTGTCAGCTAGGGCTGACCAGTGGTTACGTTTTCCACAGGGTAATGCATTTGCAAGGCCATCAATCCTCTTCCTCTGGGTGGCTCTCTTTGATGGACGCATTTCCACGATGAAATGACAAGGCGCTCTCTCTGGCTTTCCATGGGTCAGTGTCCTTGGCAGGTCTTACAACACATCTGTCTGAAGTATGCTCGACTACAGAACTTGAACTTCAGCACCAGTGGGCAATAAGCCACTTTGTTCACATCTTTGCACTCTAACGAATGGGGGCAGAAAATGGAAAACAATTAGAGGCACATAAACAAGTGCATAAACAAGCCAATGGGACTGCATGTTCGGCAAGGACCCCCTTGCACCAATCCACCTTGGCTTCCACATCCATGTGGTTTTTGTTTTTGTTTTTAAGCATACCCTGTCTGGTACAGCCTACCAGAAACATTCTTTTGATAGATTTTAACACAATTTTAAAAAAAAATGATTGCAAGGCTTTTCTCCCAGACTTTTATAAGTATGGTACATGCCCACTGTGTCTTGAAAGAATTACCATTTGTTGGGATAAGTGATCACTTTAGACAGCTTGGAAACATGAGTCATTTTTCTTACAGCGCTTTTATTGCTTCTTTCTCAAGGGTTATTTTATTCAGCAGTGCAAGGTTATCCAAAATCAAACATGAGTTGCATTGTTTGATACCAAAGTACACATGTCTCAAGAGAATCTCTGCATCTGTGAGGCATGGGGATGGGCCTGGGTGAATGAAAAGGATTGCTGACAGTGGCCTAGATTCAGCAACTACACTAGACAAAGAGGAAAACTTTGAGGGGTTGGCCTCAAATGGCAGCAGTCTGTGGGTTATGGAAACATGTAGAAATGTCTTTTTTTAATTTGGAAGTGAGACATGGCCTTCTTTTTTCCTATGTGTATTTTCTCCTCAGTGCTAGAATTGCCACAGTTGAGGTCTGTAGTTCTTGCAGCCAGAAGGTGAATAAATGATTCTTTCTCCATCTCCCCTTGAGGCTGGTTGCAGAAGATGGGGTGAAGGGGCCAGTGTAGAGAAAGGCACACCAGTCTTTGATCCTCAGCACCCCTCTCACCCCCCAGATAACCCCACTATTTCTAATAATGATATTCTTCTCTAGTCCTCTGGTCACTTGTATCTGGGGATTTTAAAATACTTTGTAAACCTGGTAATTAAATTTCCATATGCCTCCCAGAATCAAAGTTCCACCCTCATTTTTCCAGGTGGTTATACTGAAGCATCCTGGGTAAACTGCTGAAGGTATTTAGAATCAGGCAGAACCCTGGGTGAAGTTCAGTGTAACAGGACAGTTTTGTCGTTGTTGCTTGCTTGCTTATTTGCATGTTTTTCCTGGTTTCAGAAATCCACTGAAGTTCTAAGAGATCATATATATGGTACACAAGGCATATGATAAATTTGAGAAATTATATGCGAAGGAATGGGAAAGTTTTCCATTATTATTGAGAAGTAAGGTAACAATTTTATTGATCTCACGTTCCAGGCTCTTTCAGTGAAAGACTTAAATTTTAAACGGGAGCCCTCAATCTTCTGCAAACATAAACGCTGTCACCAGCAAACTCCCTTATTCACAATTTGACTTACAAAGAGAATAATAGTTCGAAATTTGAATAGAAACTTTCTGCACTAGGATTCTCAGTAAATTTAAGTTTTGGCTGAAAGAACGGCGGAGAGACAAGAAAAATTTCTTTAAACTTTGTACTAAAAAGAAATCAGATGATATTTTGTGAATCAAGTATGAATTTGAGGTGAAAAGATCTCCACATATTTTAATTTGGAGGTCACCTGGCATTTTTTTTTTCCTTTTCCTCTCTGTCATGACCAGTAAAAAGTAATCAAAACAGGTTTAGACTAAGAATATTTTTGTCAGGGGGAAAAGGTTTTATCAGTGTTACCAAGAGGGATATATTGTCAAGGTATTGCAATTATTAAAATGATGAGAAGGGCGCCTGTGTGGTTCAGTGGGTTAAGTGTCCTTCAGCTCAGGTCATGATCCTAGTGTCCTGGGATCAAGCCCCCTCCCCACCCCCCACAGGCTCCCTGCTCAGCGGGGAGTCTGCTTCTCTCTCTCACTTTCCCTCTGTGCTCTCTCTCTTACTCAAATAAATAAATAAAATCTTCTTTATAAAATGAGAAAAGCCAACACAGTATCATTCATCTTTAATTCCAAATCACCACCCTAATGGGGCAGCCCACCAGCAGAGACTACCCCTCAGAGTTGGCAGCGGGGCTTGATGGATCGCGTCAAGTTCAAAATAAATTTTAGCCAAAATATAAAGATGATTTAGTTGATAGACAGATAGAGGAGGATTGGTTGCTTTAAGAGTACAAGGAAATAAAATTAGAAGCCAGGCTGCCCTGGTTTAATCCTAGTTTTCTCATTTACTGACTTTATGACTCTGAACAGCCTCTCTGTGCCTGAGTTTCCCCCTCTGTAAACAGGGATGATGAGAGTTCTCACTTCCACACATAACATGTATATCCTATGATGCCACCTGGAGCAGTGCATACAAGGTTTATGAGCACTTGATAAGTGTAAAACATCGAATTACGACTGTTATTACCACTATTAGTTATTACGTCGTACCACCTGATAACAGTAAGTTGTCCTTTGACTTTCTCCATGAGGACGCAATATTTAGATTACTACTGAGAAAATGCTGTCCTATTGACACAAGTCAGTATTTTCTGGGGTTCAATTTTATTGGGAGATTCATTACTCCATTTTTGGAAGAGTTGCTGGTCCAGGAAAAATCTGAGATGAGCAAAATACAAGCAACTTCATAGATTTTTCTTTTAGATTTAGACCTTGGAATCTGATTCCATAACAGATAACTACTGAATAAAAAATATTCATAAGTTGTTCCTCCCTCCAATTACCCCACCATCCACCCAGTCAGGCTATTACAAATATAAATAACTTGGGATTCAGCTTCTTAGGTGGGTGCTGGAAATGAGAGGACTCTCTTCAGCATGCAGAGACCCAGAGCACAGTCCTTTGGCCAGGAGCAGTGTCTAGCCTCGGGGTAGGCTGGAAGCCAGCTGCCAGGGTGTCCCTCTCTGAACTTTCCAATACCCCTCTCAAGTTAGTTGCCAACTACGGTGATTCCAACCAGCTTGACTGAAAGCAGGAAGTCATTTGGGTCCTGGGAGCAGAATCAAGCTTAGAGAGGTAGGCACTCCTTAAGAGCGCATACGACTTGCCTGCCCCAGCACCATAACACAGTGGTGAGGGGTGGCAGACCTGGAGTGAGCTGGGCCTGGGGGTGAATTCTGGAGCTGCTTCCTCCCCATATGTGATTGTCCTGGGCCAAGTTCCTTCACCTCTCTAAGCCTCAGTTTCTTCCTCTGTGCAGTAGACACACATGACAAGACTTGCTCACAGGATGTGGTGAAGTGGGGAACACATGGGATAGTGCTTACAAAGCGCATGCCCCTGGCAGCCAGCACAGAGGAGTCACTCAGTCTGTTAGCTCTCATTATCACCACCAACACATCTGCCTCTGAGATCAACCATTGCGTATTATGTCTCTGGGATCCCTGTCAAAATGTACCTAGGCTCTCAGGGAGGGTTACACATTGGCATGCATAAGCAAATTAACAAAAAGATACTAAACAGAAAGCAGGTAAATCATAATGGGGTGGGGTGGGGAGAGATGGGGGAGGAGCCAGGACTGGGGCTGCCAAGATGGGGGGCAATAGGCCTTGATGAGACATTAAAATGGAGACCCAGGGGCTGCCTGAGGACACGCAGCCTTGATGCACAAAGGAAGATCCCTGAGGAAGAACCCCATTCCTAATTCTTGGTTTTGCCTTCTAGAGACTGCCCAGACAGAGAGAATCAATCTTTGTATTGATGGAAATCTATTTACTAGAGAAGATCAACTGTGACTGGTCTTTCATTCTCTCAGCCTTTAATGTCACAAGAGCTTAATCCAGTAACGATCACATTAAAAATAATTTATTAAGGGCCTCCTATGTGCCAAGAACTGCTTGGTGGTTTTACATACTTGTATATTTAATCCTTTGATGTATATAAAACATCAGATTTACATAGATGGCAAAACTGAAGCTCACAAACATTAGGAAAATCAGGCTGGTCACACAGCTGGTCAGTCTAAGAGCTGGGGCTAGGACCCCTCAGTTTTGGCAGCATTCTTGGCATGAAACTACAAAAAGGTTTCTGCCTGTTAAGACTTCTCTATTCTTGGCTGATACCAAAGTCACAAGTCAACCCTTGGGGGCATTATCATCAGAAAATTTGCTCTGCCACCTTAGAGAAAGGGGAATTAAAAAAAAAATAACCTACACCCAACAGGGGCCTCGAACTCACAGCCCCGAGATCAAGAGTTGCATGCTCCACTAAGCCAGTCAGGTGACTGGAGAATGAGTAGGGTTTTATAAAAGGAGGGTTCTAGGGTGCCTGAGTGGCTCAGTTGGTTAAGCAACTGCCTTCAGCTCAGGTCATGATCCTGGAGTCCAGGGATCGGACTCCCTGCTCAGCAGGAGTCTGCTTCTCCCTCTGACCCTCCCTCCTCTTGTGCTCTTTCTCTCTCTCAAATAAATAAATAAATAAATAAATAAATAAATAAATAAATAAATAAAAGGTGGGTTCTAGGTCACAGGTATTTGAAATAGCCTGAATACTTTTCTTCAGCTTTACCTTCCTCCTTCAATTGTGTAAAATGACATAACTGAAAGGTGATTTGAGATACACCAAGAAGTTTTAAAGCCCCACTATTACAGAAAGCTGAATGTAATCTTTAAATATATTAGGAGAAGTTTTAAATTATACTGGGGCATTCAGCCCATCTGCCACTTTTTTAGCTTACCTAGAGAGGATTGACTTGTTGACCTCTTGAATTGACTCACTGACATTCTGCTGATGTAGTCAAGAAGCCTTAATTATAAAACTTATTCACTAGCCTGCTTCATTCTCAAAGCCATTAAAAATATGAAACAATATAAGTAACGAATCACTCAATTCTATAGCTGAAACTAATATTACACTGTATGTTAACTAACTGGAATTTAAATAAAAACTTAAAAAAAGAAATAATCTTCTCACCCTTGAATCAATACACAGTACAGTGTAAATTACATTTGCGATAAAAACCATTCTGGAAAAGCTCTGCATAATTAAACCACAGTTTCCTGATGAAATAAAAACAATAATAAATGTTCTGTTTTAGTTTCTGAATGATCTTCTTCAGTAGGCACT